CCGTCTCAAAAAAAAAAAAAAAAAATGGATTTTATTATTTATTATTCATTTTTATTTTTGAGACAGCGTCTCCTCTGTTGCCCAGGCTGGAGTGCAGTGGCTCGATCGCAGCTCACTGCAGCCTCAACAACCTGGGCTCAAGCGATCCTTCCACCTCAGTCTCCCTAGTAGCTGGGACTACAGGCGTGATTCACTGCGCTTAGCTAATCTTTGTATTTTTTGTAGAGATGGGGGTCTCCCTATGTTGCGCAGACCGGTCTGGAACTCCTGGGCTCAAGAGATCCTCTGGCTTTGGCTTCCCAAATTGTTAGGATTACAGGCATGAGCCACTACGCCTGGCCTGAATTTTTTTTTTTTTCTCTGAGACAGGGTCTCTGTCAGCCAGGCTGGAGCGCAGTGGCACGATCTCGCTGGAGTTTTTTGTTTTTGTTTTTGTTTTTTGTGTTTTTTTTGAGACGGAGTCTCACACTGTATCCTAGGATGGAGTGCCATGGTGCAATCTGGGCTCACTGCATCCTCTGCCTTCCAGGTTCATGAGATTCTCCTGCCTCAGCCTCCCAAGAAGCTGGGATTACAGGCGCACACTACTACTCCCGGCAATTTTTTTTTTTTGTATTTTTAGTAGAGACGGGTGTCACTATGTTGGCCAGGCTGGTCGCAAACTCCTAACCTCGTGATCTGCCCGCCTTGGCTTCCCAAAGTGCTGGGATTACAGGCGTGAGCCACCAAGCCTGTCTGGATTTTTTTTATTTAGATAAAGTTCACATGTCCTAAGATTCACCCCATTAAACCGTACAATTCACTGTTTTTTAGCATATTTACAAAGATGCGCAATCATCACCACTATATAATACCCCAACATTTTAATCACCTCAGTGGGTTTTCGTAATTGGCTGGTATAAATATTTAGAATGTAAGATTAAGGTGGGGCGCGGTGGCTCAGGTCTGCAATCCCAGCACTTTGGAAGGCAGAGGAAGGCGGATAATTTGAGGTCAGGAGTTTGAGACCAACCTAGCCAACAACGTGAAACCTTGTCTCTAGTAAAAATACAAAAAATTAGCTGCACGTGGTGGCATACACCTGTAATCCCAGTTACTCAGCAGGCTGAGGCACGGGAATTGCTTGAACCCAGGAGGCAAAGGTTGCAGTGAGCTGAGATTGTGCCACTGCACTCCAGCCTGGGCGACAGAGCACGACTCTGTCTCAAAAAAAAGAAGAAAAAAAAAAAGAATGTAAGATTAAAGTGAATACCTCCAGTTTTCACCATCACTTAACTAATGCATGCATTTATTGAAACATAACTTCCTATTTTAGGTAAATTGTTGTACTAAAAATTTATGTGATATAAAACACGTATTCATATAAATTTTACTTAAGTATTCAATGAACACACAGATAACGTAAATTCTATCTTTTTTGTTTTTTGTTTTTTTGAGATGGAGTCTGGCTCTGTTGCCCAGGCTAGAGTGCAATGTCTCAATCTCAGCCCACTGTAACCTCCCCCTCCCGGGTTCAAGCGATTCTCTGCATCAGCCTCCCGAGTAGCTGGGATTACAGGTACGTGCCACCATGCCCAGGTAATTTTTCTATTTTTTAGGAAAGGGTTTTCGCCAGGTCAGGATTTTGGTCAGGCTGGTCTCCAACTCCTGACCTCAACTGATCAGCACACCTCGGCCTCCCAAAGTGCTGGGATTACAGACGTCAACCACCGCACCTGGCCCAGAAAACCTAAATTCTTATTTATTCACCTGTCCTTACATTTTTTTTCTGGTTTGAAATAGCTGTTTATAAAAAGCAACTCCATTAAAAATTGGGGAAAGGACACAAACAGACACTTCTCAAAAGAAGGCATACATGCGGCCAAGAAACACGGAAAAAAAGTTCAATATCACTGATAATTCGAGAAATGCAAATCAAAACCACATGAGATACCACCTCGGACTAGTCAGAATGGTGATCATTAAAAAGTCAAAAAACAAAAGATACTGGTGAGGTTGTGGAGAAAAAGGAATGCTCTTACACTATTTGTGGGGGTGTAAATTAGTTCAACCATTGTGGAAGACAGAGTGGCAATTCCTCAAAGCCCTAGAGGAAGAAATACCATTTGACCAAGCAATCTCATTACTAGGTATATAGCCTCCAAAATACAAATCATTCTATTATAAAGATCCATGCACACATATGTTCACTGCAGCACTATTCACAATAGCAAAGACATGGAATCAACCCAAATGCCCATCAATGATAGACTGGATAAACAAAATGTGGTACACATACACCATGAAATACCATGCAGCCATAAAAACGAACAAGATCATATGCTTTGCAGGGACATGGATGGAGCCGAAAGCCATTATTCTCAGCAAACTAACGCAGGAACAGAAAACCAAATACCGCATATTCTCATTCATAAGTGGGAGCTGAATAGTGAGAACACATGGACGCATGCGGGGGAACACCACACACTGAGGCCTGTCCGAGGGTTGGGGGTGGGAGAAGGGAGAGCATCAGGAAGAATAGCTAATGGATGCTGGGCTTAATAGCTGGGTGATGGGATGATCTGTGCAGCAAACCACCATGGCACACAGTTTACCTATGTAACAAACCTCCACATCCTGCGCATGCACCCCTGAACTTAAAAGTCGGGAAAAAAAAAAAAA